GAGTAAAAAGTTAAGAAGACTATAAAAATAGCTACACATAACTGCATTCGAATGGACCACTACCTCATAGCCTATAGAATAATTTGAAACATAACCGTTTCTGGCCACCTAATAATCGTTAAAATAATACAAGAGAACTTCTACCCATACTGCAACATTGACTAGTATATATAACTAGTGGAGCCAAAACACAACACATGGCCTGAATATTCAAAGAGACTGTCTCTGCTGGGTGTTGATATATATATATATATATATATATATATATATATATATATATATATATATATATATATATATAAATAAAATAATAATAAAACGGATCGTCAAAAGTTTGGCTGAATCCATTTAGGTGAAACCTAGGTAGGTTTGTCTGGCTCACTAGGGTGTATCTAGGTCTGCTCTACGTCTCCTGGAAACAGTTGTATTGAGCTTTGTTAGTTAGTTGTTACTCGTATCGGGGTTTTTCAGACCTGCATCTGGGAACAATAGAGATTGATTAAAATCAAAAAATCGAGGGTTTTTCGAAACGAGTCTAGTTATCTATCTATCTATCTATCTATCTATATATATATATATATATATATATATAAAAAAAAAGTTAAGGATTTAGTATTAAAAAGCTTTTAATACATAAAAAAATTAAGGAAATCAGCTTTTAAGATAAAAAATTAGAAATGGTTTCAACATAAAAAAAAAAAAAATAAAGGATAGGAAATCAATTGACCGAAATCGTGGAAGATACCGAAAGGTTGAAACCAAGGTAGCGGAATCGACTGATCTCCAAACTTTTTATACTATATATATATATATATATATATATATATATTATAATTATTTTTTAAATATGATTCCTTCGCTACATAAGAGTTCTCATGTTTCAAAAACAAGAGACCTGCACACACACACACACACACACACACACACACACACACACACACACACATATATATATATATATATATATGTATATACTGGATTCTCCGTTGTTTTCGACGTATGAGGCTCCAGCAGCTCAGTTTTTAGAACCAACAGTCAGACTACTGACTAATGACACATATGATTTGATTATATTGTTGAAGGCTGGTGCAAAACCAATCACACTTTTTAAAATTGTTGAATACTGAGAACTGGTGCACTGTATTACAAGGTCTCCAAACGACTCTCCTCAAGTCTTGAATTCCGAGTTGTCTTTCTACTTGAACGATTTTCCCTTCCAATGCTATAGGACCTTGTCTCTCCTGATATCTATCCATAGCAAAAAAGTGAAAAGTGATGGATTCATACCTTTCCCTATGCTATTAGCACGTAAGTAATGTAACTAACACGAGTGGCATTCGGGATCGATTCTCCGATTCCTCAACCTGAGCCGCTATCCATTCTTCTTTTATGTGCCGTGTCTCCCTTCAACTCCTCCTGTCCCTTGTAGCTCTTAATAAGTTTTACATTTTTGTTATTTCTCTCAGACCCTCTTCCGCCATCCACTTGTTTAAGCAAATTAAGTATGTCACGCGTTGCTTTCCCCTATCACCTTTTCCCTCTCTCCGTTCTGTGAGTATCAGAATTTTCAAGTCCCTTCTTTCTCATTACGTATACCAGAAATTTCAGCTGTATCTTTCTGATGTTAATACAAGTTTCCTCTTTGTTTTCTTTGTCACCAAAACCTCGTCGTTGTTTACACGTTCGGACCTTGGTATCCTTAGCATCCTTCTGAAGAATTACACTTCTGATGCATCTTCTTCATCTCTATGGCGATTGTCCAGAATTCGCTGCTATACAGGAGGACAGATATCACGTAACAGTTTAATACACTTTTCTTTGCTTCCAACGAGAACTTTCCCGTCTCGTAATACCCAGGAATGTATCTTTGGCCATGTCATTACGTCTTCGGATCTCAGTGCCGCACTTTCCGTTCTCTGTTAGAACACTTCCCAGATATTAAAATTTTTGTACCGGCTTGATTTTAGTATCAACGAAATGTAATTTGCATTTTGAGCTCACCCAATTGTTGATAACCATGAATTCTGTCATCTTGTAGTTTATGCTTAGTCCTTTCTTCTCGCTCTCCTTCGTTACCTTCTATAGGAGGTTTTCTAGTTTCCTTTCCGTGTCTGCTATCAGCACAGTGTCATGTGCATATGTTATATTGTTAAGCTTGTGGCTGCCTATGAAGAATCCTTGTAGGATTTCCAGTTCTCGCTATCCAGTACTCTACCGTATATAATATTATTGATGGGCACCTTGGTGTAATGGTTATTTTGTTCTCTAGATCAGTTACAACTGAAAAGTGAGTTCTCCTCACTAGATGCCCCACCGGCCTATATAATACGCTTGGAAAATAACTATAATATTATTGATAACAACTTGGGACCTCAAAAATCACCGATGAAGCAATAATCCTGTTTATTGATTCTCACATTCTTTGGGAAATTGTATCTCCAGTAATACTAATAGCAACAATATTAAATTCTTATATTGACTACACATGTATCACACATTCTAGTAAGTCAAATTGTCAAAATTTAGTGCAATTCGTGGACGCATTTATCATCACATACCAAATGTCAAATATATTTCCAGTATTTTTTTTTTTCAAAGATGTATTGCTGGTATATTTACTATAAAAATCTATTTTTATACTTTCATGGTGTATTGATACCAATTTGGGGGTTAACTACTTATCCATAGCTGGGATTCTAACAGGTGCTACCACCCCGGATCAGTATAGACCTGGGAACAACAGTAATTAAGATCTGATTCCACGCTACTCAAAGCATACCGATCAGAGGCCTTGCTACCAGATGTAGTTTATCGTCATACCCAGGACAGGATAAATGATTTCGCCAATACATTCGCATTTATTGAAAACTAAATCAAACAACATTCGTTCGTCTTCAAACAAACCTGCATAAATGATAAATGTTTGCCCAAAGATATATCATTATTATTATTAATAATATATTCGAGGTAATGTCAAGGTTATCGTTTGAGCTTAGTTTAAATTACGGGTGGATCTGCTTGTATTCGTTTAGCCCTGAGGTAAAGGGTAAAGCATCAATGTAATCCGGTCTGTTACTAGATATCATGTAAAAAAATGTCATATCGCTAACATGCCACGAGGCTTGACATAGAAATGAACTGTGCTGGTCTCAGTTCATTTTCAAAGGATCTTCAAACACAACGATATTCATGGTCTTTGCGTTCTTACGGGGTAAAGGCAATTCTTAAGGGCAATTCTTACGGTAAGCATTCTCTTTGATATCAGAGCTTTCTTGCAGCACATTTTTCCAGAGTCAAAAAACTAATGAGATCGCGAATCTTCAATTTCTGAATCTGAGTTTAGTCAATTATTTCAAGTTTTTTTTTTTAAATCTGCTGTACTGTAAATCACAAGAAAATATCAAATGCAATAAAAATTTTCAATTTTTGGGAAGACCTCTTGGGACTACATCTATGTTTTGTTTAGATAAATCCAAAATACAGGTTTGAAACGTAGAAATCCTGAGCCAGCCACAAAACCAAATTTGACGGACTTCCAAGATTGATCGAAGTTATGGACTAAAGATGAGCATAATTTATTTTCACTGTTGGTTGCGTAGATATTTCAAACAAGCAACCTCTTTTCCTCCCGATTATCATGATTGACAGCATTCCGCAGTGGTATGAACGCAGAACTGCTCATTTGCAAGTATAACGATGAGAAAATAACGGTTGTATATATCTGATTGCTCGTTTTCCGTCTTTTCAAAGATTAGGGTGGTAATATGATGTTTTCTTTTTCATTTACAGCTCCTACTAAAATTTTCTCTTTCCGTGTGTGTTCCGTCAATATTTCACATGTATTACTTCCCTACCGCCCTCTACAGAACTAACTCAAGTGCGCAGATCACGCGTATATATAACTTAGCCTACATTCTCTCACGATTTCCTTTTTTCTTGAAAGCACATGGTCAGCTCACCACTTGACTGAGTGGTGATAACCTGATTTCTGAAAATTATTCTTTCTATAAATTCACTAGTAAATATGTTCTTTTTTATGTGAACAAATAACACGGCTTGGCTGAGGTTTTCGAAAAGCCCCTTTTCTGAAATTATTCTGACTGAGAAACCACATAATCCCAGCCTTTATTGAAAACAATTTAATCTCAAGGGATTTTACAAATACTTTTTAAAATTTTAGCTGAAGACGTAGTTTACTGCTTGTTATCATTTTCGTTCGATTTGGTGAGCACGGTCGATAAAAAAGCTGTACTAAGTTATACCAGGTTACTAAGATACTCAAGAGGTTTAGAAACTATTTTCTTATTTTTTCCACATATAATCATTAAATGCAATTAAGACTTTTCCCCGGTTGTCTACCATTTTCTACATATAACTCCTGCCAAGCCTCGCACGATTGCGTCACATCCCACATGAAGAAAGAGTATCAGTTCACGGACAATTTTGTCTTCAGAAAGAACATATTTTATTTTCCTTGAAGGGATGTAAAAATGAACAGCATTACATTCATAATGGTAATGGTTCCGGTAATAATAGCTGTTTGCCTACAAGGAAATATTTGATATTCAGTGACCGAGCAACCAGTACTGCTTTCGTTTGAAATTTATAAAATCATTCTCTTAAAACACTTTTTCAGGATAAACAGCTTTCAAAGTCTGAAAGATTTTATTGCTCATTTGGTGGGGAGTTTCCTTCTTAATCTTTTGTTTGAAGTATTGTGTAATATCAACATCTTGATTATGTTATTATTTTCTCTTCGAGTTACATGTACTATCCATTTTAGTTGTTACTGCTGTTGGTAGTTCTCAAGTGATATGGTTTCTGTACAGTTCTTTGATCGTGAACAACTGCTAAGGAATTAGAAAAACGCATCTTTTTACATCTATTGTTTATTAGATTTTACGTTGATGTTTCTCGATGTAGACATCTTCATTTTACGGAGGCCTAATTTTTCGGCGTGAATAGCACTTAAAAACATAACAGGGAGGAGAATTAAACAGTTAGTGAGTGGAAATGAGATATGTTAATAGAAGAAGAGGGAATGAGAAGAGAGATATCGTGACATAAGAGGGAGACAGAGACATAAGAATGAGACAGAAAGAGAATAAAAATACACAGGGAGGGAGAGAGAAGATGAAAAGGGAAAATGGGAAGGAGATAGAGTGAATAGGAAGTAGGTGAGAAGAAGGGAAGGGAAGATCAGTAAAGAAAGAGAAAAGAAGAAAGAAGAGAGAAAGAAAGAAATTATAAGAACAGAGGAAGAAAGAGGAGTAGTGAGAAAAAGGGAAAACAGGAAGTGGGAGAATAAGAAAAGAGGTAGTAGCGAAGTATATATAGAAAGAGAGAGAGAGAGAGAGAGAGAGAGAGAGAGAGAGAGTGGGAAAAGTAATAGGAAGAGGAGAAACAGGTAGAAAGTAATAAAATGACAAGGAGAGTAAAATGCGAGACGTAGTGAGAGGATGATAGAAGAGAAAGAAAAGGAAAGTAACGAGAAAGACGGATACGAAAAGAGGAAGAAAAAAGAAAGAGTTCAAGGAATGAGGGAGAGAGTGTAGAGAGAAAGATAAAGAAATAGAAGGTGGATAAGGAGAGAAAAGGAGAGGAAGTAAAAGTTGGAGAGTAAGCTTGCAATGGTTAGACGGAAGATTAGAGAAAGTAAATGAAAGAGTTAAGAAAAAGATACACATAATAAGAGCAAGAGAATGAGGGACGTGGACCGCAAAAAAAAAAAAAAAAAAAAAAAAAAAAGAAAGAGAAGATTTTGAGTTAAAGAGTGAGAAAGCGAGGGGGGAGAGAACATTGGCTTGTTGATGGCGAATCAACAGGCGCATCATTTACATCAGACTTGTCACGTACGCAGTAACGGAGTTGAAAGTAGCGGGAAAAGAGCCGTAATTGTATTAGGTTTGGCCGCGCCTTTTCTCGCTTTTTGTTAGTCACGGACATTAATCTAATATCGATACAGTTTGCGTATTTATTAAATCAGTTGATCGCTTTATTTAGTTTATTTCATTTAATCAAACGATCATAACATCTAGCGCATCGAACCTGAATTAAGGACCAATAGATAGATAGATACATACATGGATACATACATGGATAGATCGATCGATAGATAGATAGATAGATAGATCGATCGATAGATAGATAGAAATAGGAATGGATAGACAGATCGATAGAAAGATAGAAATGAAGGATCTGTGTTAACTAGATAGTCAGCTAGCTAGCTAGCTAGCTAGATAGATAGATATAAACAGGACTAGACATATAGATAGATAGATAGATAGATAGATAGATAGATAGATAGATAGATAGATAGATTGAATAAGATAATGAGGGCAAATATGAAAAGACTGATAGGCAGATGAGATCATAAGTAGATAGTAAAAATAAGAGAGATACATACTATAATAGATAGACAGTTATATATGAAGAGTGAATATATATATATATATATATATATATATATATATATATATATATATATATGCACACACATGCACATATATATATGTAGAAAGACAGATGAACAGGTTGTGATAAGTACAAAGACAGAAAGACATATATGAAGAGACGATGCAAACTGACAGACAGGCAGTCTGATAGATAGATAGATAGATATGAACTGACTCTGATAGACAGATGACAAGAAAATATATATATATATATATATATATATATATATATATATATATATATATATGGAGAGAGAGATGAACAAGTGATGATAAGTACACAGACAGAAAGAATATAGATAAATAAATAAATATAAAGAGACGTTGTAAACTGACCGACAAGTAGGCACATAAATAGACAGATAGAGAGAAGAGAGAAAGAGGGGGCAGATAGATATACACAGACTGATAGAAGTATATTAACAATGATAGACAACTAGAGAGAGACAGACTAGGACAAAGACAGAAAGACAAATCGATGGTGGTTTTCTTAACGTAGCACTTGGCCGGAAGTACGAGGCACGTAGCGAAGATCGAACTCATGATTCAGTCATAATTGATATAGGAAGACAAGCTTGCTAAGTTCATGTACCCAAGCAATTTATTAAGTATAGCACAAGACAAGGTCGAATTTACTACTCGATCGTCATTTATCTAACGAGATAAGCTTGCTAGCCATTACACCACGTCGAAGTGCCCATAGATAGATAGATATGAGCAAACTATTATAGTGGGATATGAACAAAGGTAGATAGACTGATAGATAGACAGAAAAATAGAGAAGAACATACTATGATAGGTTGATAGGCATGAACAGAGTATAGATAGAAACATATATACGAAAGCGCACACATCTAAGAAGGGTATCAAAGATTCTAGTAAGTTATAAGGAGTTTTGTAGGAATATTATTATGATTATAAATAATTAAAATAAAATATAAAATAATGATGAAAATTATAAATAAAATAAAACAAAACAATAACAAAAACGTTGTATAAAATAAATTAAAAAAAAATACTCTTAGCATGCAGCAAAAATTGTTCTTGCCGGAAATACGGACATCCCGCCAAAAGACGTTAAATTCACTCAATTCACCACGAAACATGGTACAGGCAACACATGTTGAAATTTTCTCTGTGATATGGCTTGTAAGACTCCGGAGTAAATTCTCCCTTTCATCACATGTACCATAAAACAATTGTAAGCTAAAAAAATGCACAAACCAATACACAAAAATAAAAGTAAATTGTATGAAATTAACATGCAATTTACCATGTTTTCCTGTTATGTTTGTACATCCTGTTAAGTATGATTTTATCTCCATGAACACGATGCTAATTTCTGCAGATAATTACGACCCCACAGTTTAATGCAGATAATTATGAATAGACATTATCTATCTATCTATCTATCTATCTATCTGTCTATTCATTTATCTCATTCTGTACAGTTTCTCTCTCTCTCTCTCTCTCTCTATATATATATATATATATATATATATAGAGAGAGAGAGAGAGAGAAACTGTACAGAATGAGATAAATACATAGATATGAACAGAATGGTATCGATAGATATGAACAGAACTAGATAGATAGATAGATAGATAGATAGATAGATAGAAATGATAAATAGATAGCCTGTCTCGAAAGTAAGGTTGACAGAAAAACGGTAAAAATAAGAGAGAAGCAGAAGAGAAGAAACATAATTCAACAAAAAAAAAGAAAGAAAAAGTTGAAAAAGATGAAAAACGATGTTCTTTGGAAGCTGTATAATTTTTTTTTATCTCTCAGACACAGAAATAGATAAAACAAATATATGTATTAAAATCTCTTCTTGCCATTGGAACACATCCTTAAGTCAAATATCAGTTTCTTATGCAAATTCGATTAATAGCGGACAGTGCAAACCGAATTCGGCCCGGGAGTGACGTGGATTATATGAATTCTGAAGATCATTGCATTTAGGAAGGAGAAAAGACAAGAAATGAAAGAGAACGATATCCCAAGATTATGTTAAATGAAGTGTTGAAAGAAACGCTATTTTGAATTGTTACAAAATACCAACAAATCAATAGACGATCAACGAGTCCAATTTTGGTTTTCTGTGAAGATTATTTATCTATCTATGTTTGTACTAATTTATTGGACCTGGTTCATACCTACATAATTATTTTTGCATCTTGTTCTTATATATATATATATATATATATATATATATATATATATATATATATATATATATATACCACCCCAAAAAAAAAAAAAAAAAAAAAAAATGAACACACTTTTTTTGACTTCGCCTTAAATTTGAATATTTATAAACATGAATTTAATTTAAGCTATTAATGTTCTTTGTAAAAGAATAAACATTAATATTTCTTAATTTTAACCATTCATCTTGCTGAGAAGTCAATAAACACTGCATTATTGTAATTATATTAAAGTGTACATTTTTGGACACCCTATATATATATATGCAGAAAGCACTGGATCGCCGTTTCGTCCAGCAACGCTCATCCACTACCGAGATTCGAACACGGATTGTTTCGATACAATGTAGCTGTATCAACGGGCCTCGGTGACGAGGAAGAAAATGAATAGACACGATATAGCATCGCTTCTCACAAATTCCAAGTATTCCTAACCCAATGGATTGTGCTCCTTTTGGAGCCACGAATTTCCTTTCTCCTGAACCGAAGTAATAGAATTTTGGGGATTTATGCAAATCATTATAGTAATTCATCGAGTTTAGAAGAATCCTGAAAAGAATGCAGAAAGCACTGGAAGACCGTTTCGTTCTATTTTGGGACTCGAGTCTCTTCAGTTTCTTCTTCGTCAACATTATCGTCATTATTTTTATTTGGGCGAATATCTTCATCTGAAAGGACCCCTATATTTAAAATCGTAAAGAGACTAATTTGAGACAAGGAATGCCTTGACAATTTTAACGTCTCCGAAACAAAACGGTTTTCTCTAACCATGGTTAGAATTCAAGATGTAGGATATCTCGGCTGTGATTTTACCTAGAGAGTGGGTGAGGACTCCTGACTAAGATTTATTACGAATGAATGTATAACTCTTTGACTTCCAAATCAGATATCTGGGGGAAAACTAGCCAGACGCACAGTTGCACAGCGTCCCTATGATCACACTCCGTCATGGGAAGGATAATGACAATGACAATGACGATGACGATGATGATGATGTAAATAGTGTATAGGAGGATGTTTTAATTAAAAATAACACAAAAATCAAATCATATGATAATCAATATAATCACAATTAGCAAAAAGTGGACTGAAGATGGCAAGAGGGTACACGGTCGAAACGTATAATAATATCTATAATATTCAAAACAAAACTTACATTTCGAGTGAATCTCTTATATGGACATTTTACCTTGATTTGGTGTCAGGAACCTGCACTTAAAATTTTTAAAAGTATTTTAATACACCTTATATATATATATATATATATATATATATATATATATATAATTTCGATAAACGTGCAATCAATTTACAAATTCATGAATTATTCACACAAAAACAAATGCAAAAACAATGATTTAATTGGCGAGAAATCCATCGTCGCAAACAATTCAAATAATATACAAAAACCTCCGAACCTGTTATGAATGAAAAGATCCTTGTTTCTATAAATTTCTGCCGCATTAGTTTGTAGTAAAAATAAGAACGATGGATTTCTCGCCAATTAAATCATTAACCTTTGCATTTGTTTTTGTGTGAATAATTCATGAATTTGTAAATTGATTGCACGTTTATCGTAATTTAAATAACTGATCCAAGTGCGACTTTTGGATAATAAGTGCGACATTACTGTAATTATTGAACAATATAGTTCATGCCACTTTGAAAGAAAATTTACCAGTAAAAAATTCGTTTATCCCCATATTTGTACATGAACGCACAACTGTAAAAAATTTAAAATCAAACTCAGCGTTGCTACTGCACGCTCCAAAAACAATAACTCATTTCCAATAGCATTTTCGGATACAACAATACATATATTTTCGTTGTCTTCTTATTACTGAGAGAAAAAACAAGAACAACATCTATTCCATACCTGAAGATGTCTGTAGGAACAGACGAAAGCTTGTAGTAAAAATAAGAACTAATGCGGCAGAAATTTATAGAAACAAGTATTTTTTATTCATAACAGGTTCGGAGGTTTTTGTATATTATTTGAATTGTTTGCGACGATGGATTTCTCGCTAATTAAATCATTAACCTTTGCATTTGTTTTTGTGTGAATAATTCATGAATATATATATATATATATATATATATATATATATATATATATATATATATATATATTCATGCGAAAATTTACGCAAATACCATTTCGTATC